GTCCAGGGCCCAGTGTTCAACAAACCCGTCGGGTGATTCTGATGCTACCGGAGGGCAGGGACCACGTGTTTTGTCCACGCCTGAGCTTTAGCCTCTAGCCCTACACTTGACACCAGGCAGCTGCCCAGTGAATACTGGATGGAAGCGGATGAGCATCATTATCCCAAAGGGAAGAGTGTGAGTATTTAGTATGCCCCCAACTCCATGCAACCACGGCCCTCATATTCTTAAGTCATCTGAACACCTTGTGGGGCAAGCACCACATCGGAGTTCTACAGGAGTCATAGGTAATAGCAGTGGTTGGAGTTTTATATGTGCTTTCAGGCTTTGAATTTCCATGATGGTCCTGTGAGAAGTATGATCCCATTTCATAGTGGAGGAAGCTGAGGCACAGAGAGGTACCCATAATTTCAGCTACTAAGTGGTAGAGTGGGATTTATAACTAGGTGTCCAAACTTCATGAGCTCTCCACTTGCTATGTGTCTTAGGGACTACTTGGGTTATCCAGTACTGACGACAAATCAGCTCAAGTCTCTACTCCCTGATTTTTGCAGATGACATAACATTTTCCACCCTCCTGCCAGGAAAGGCCTAGTTCCAAAAGTTAAATTTTTTTTAAGATTTTTTTTTTTTTTTTTTGAGGGGCAGGGAGCTTGGGTGGCTCAGCTGGTTAAGCGTCTGCCTTCCACTCTGGTCATGATCCTGATTCTGGAGTCCTGGGGTCGAAACCTGCATCAGGCTCCCTGCTCAATGGGGAGTCTGCTTCTCCCTCTGCCCCTCCCCCTGTTCGTGTTTGACGCTCTCTTTCTAAAATAAATAAATAAAATCTTTAAAAAAAGATTCACAGGCCAGTATCTGGATAGAGACCTCCCAGGTTGTATATTCACCAGGAAGGTCTTCATTGCTCCCTCTCCCTCACCTGCTATGGCCTCAGGATTCTCACTACTACCCTGTGCAGTTATTTTGAATTTGACATGTTTCTTCTTTTAAAAAGAGTTCAGAGTTAGAAATGCAATATGCTATAGATGAAATAAGGGCAACCGTCCTCCAAAGTTTATAACATAGGGCAGCAACTCCTGCCTCACGTCCCTCTCTAGGTGACCTTCGAATTCCTAACCCCTCTGCTGGTATTCACGTGTTTTTTTTAAATTATTTATTCATAAGAGACACAGAAAGAGCGAGGCAGAGACATAGGCAGAGGGAGAAACAGCCTCCCCACAGGGAACCCAACATGGGACTCGATCCCAGGACTCCGGGATCATGCCCCGAGCCAAAGGCAGACACTCAACCACTGAGCCACTCAGGCCTCCTGTGGTATTCACGTTTGTAACTGAAATTTCATGCTGATTCTATTTCTTGATTTTTTTAGTTTATATATTTTTCAGTATTACATATTATATATCACGATATAAAATATCATACCATATACAATCTCTCCAAAACACATGTGCTTCTTATACTTTTATATCCTTATATACTTCCTCTGTGCTCATGCTCCAGACTGGGCTGGCTGGCCTTGGCTGCTAGCCTGGCATGCAGCCACTGCCATCACACTGGGGATTCTCTTTCCTCCTGTCCTGTTTGGATCTCCAGTTTCCTGTGTCCCCATATCCACTTTCCTAGTTTTCTCTCTTGTTTGGTTGGGGTACATCCTCTAGTAGCTGTCTGAGAAAGAATGTATGGGAGGTAAATTTTTTAAAAACTCACGTTCTGAAAGTATCTTTATTCTACTATCACTGAAATTTGGCTGGATACAAATCTAGATTAGAAACCATTTCCTATCGGGACACCTGGGTGGCTCAGTGGTTGAGCATACGTCTTCAGCTCAGGGCATGATTCCGGAGTCCCGGGATGGAGTCCTGCATCGGGCTCCTCACAGGGAGTCTGCTTCTCCCTCTGCCTGTGTCTGCCTCTCTCTGTGTGTCTCTCATAAATAAATAAATTTAAAAAAAGAAGAAACAATTTCTTATCAGAATTCAGATCTTTTTCTTTTCAAAAAGATTTTATTTATTTATTCATGAGAGACACAGAGAAAGAGGCACAGACATAGGTAGAGGGAGAAGCAGGGTACCTGTGGAGAGCCCGAAGCAGAACTCGATCCCAGGACCCCAGGATCATGACTTGAGCCCAAGGCAGATGTTCAACTACTGAGGAACCCAGGTGTCCCAGAATTCAGAAGATATTACTTCAAAATCTGCTTTGAGAATTTTAGTGTCATTTAAAATCCCTGATCCTTGGTATGTGACTTGTTGTTTTTTTTCCCTTTTTCCCTTTCAGATTTTTAATCCCGGAATCCTGAAACTTCATGATAAGAAGTCTTGCTATAGTTCCTTTAATTGTTTAATATTGAAATATTTCAGACCTATAAAAATAATGCATATGTAATAATGAAATATTATAATATAAATATTGCAAAACCATCTATACATCATTGACATTAAAACATTAACAACACGTTGAAACCCCCCCTTAGCTGGCCCTGTCTTCTCAAGACATGCCTTGAGATCTGTTGTTTATCCTTCCTGTGCATTTATTCTTTCGCTGCATAAAATATATGTTAATATATGTCATTTCTCCCTGTTTTAGAATCTATATATAGATGGTGTCATAAAGTATGTATTTTTCTGCCATCTGTTTCTTAGCTCATGGTTGTAGAGAGTCATCTACGCTGAGAATACCCACTCATTTCCACCAGAATGATATTCCATTGTTTGACTACACTGTATCACCACTTATGCATCTATTCTTCTGTTGATGCTATGTAGGTTGTTTTCAATTTTTAGCTAATAAAAAGGTACTGCTCTAAATAAACACTCTGTACACATCTCCTGGAGCCCACTTAGAGGAGCTTCTGTATGAAAATGGTTCCCAGTTTCGCTAGCACATTGGAGTCATGTATGGAGGTTCACAGAATCCTACTATCAAGGTTGTGCCCCCAATTTTTTTTTAAGATTTTATTTATTCATGAGAGACACACAGAGAGAGAGGCAGAGACACAGGCAGAGGGAGAAGCAGGCTCCATGCAGGGAACCCGATGTGGGACTGGATCCCCGGACTCCAGGATCACGCCCTGGGCTGAAGGCAGACACTCAACTGCTGAGCCACCCAGGGATACCCTGTGCCCCCACTTTTTTAAAAAAAGATTTTATTTATCTTTTCATGAGAGACATAGAGAGAGGCAGAGACAAAGGCAGAGGGAGAAGCAGGCAGGGGAGCCCAATGTGGGACTCGATCCCAGGACCTCACTCAACCATGGAGCCACCAAGCTGTCCCTAGAATCCTACTATCAAGGCTATGCCCCAAACTGATGAAATCAGAATCTCTGGGGAGGTGGAGGAGGGGAAGACTGGTGTGATGTGCTTGTAAAACGCCCCAGGCAATTCCAGTGAATAGCCAGTGGTGACAACCACTGCCCTAGGCTGGTGCTACAGAGTGTGGTCCTCCAGCCTGATGTGGGACTGGATCCCAGGACCCAGGGATCATGACCCAAGCCAAAGGCAGATGCTCAACCGCTGAGCCATCCAGGGGTTCCTATATTTTAATTTTCAAGAGCCTTAACACTTCCTTTTTCTTTTTTAAAAATATTTATTTATTTATTTATTTATTTAAAAGAGGGAGAATGTGAGCAGGGAGAAAGGGAGAGGGAGAGAAAATCCTCAGACTCCTTGACAAGCATGGGGCCTGACTTGGGTCTCAATCCCAGGACCCTGAGATTGTGATCTGAGTCAAAATCAAGAGTCAGATGCTTAACCGACAAAGTCACCCAGGCACCCTAAGAATGTTATTTTTTTTAAGAAGGAAGTGTTAAAAAAATAAATAAAAAATAAAAAGGGACGCGTGGGTGGCTCAGTGAGTTAAGCAACCAACTCTTGGTTTCAGCTCAAGTCATGATCTCAGGGTCATGAGATCGAGCCCCACATTGGCCTCTGCACTCAGCAGTGAGTCACCTTGGGGATGCTCTCTCCCTCTGCCCCTTCCCCCTTCACTTGCTTGATTTTTCTCTAAACATAAATAACTGAATAACTAAATAACATTCTTTTCCTGTTTCATGGGTAGGTGTCTTCCAAGGGTTGTTCCCTAACTCCTTCCTCCTGTTTATTAGAATCTCTGTATTTTTAGTTGTTGGTTTTGGTCAACTGTTGGTGCCTTTGGCTGTTTCAATTGAGTGTAACACAGCCAAGCTATAAGCTAAATTGTACATGCAGGTGGGGCTTGCAGAAAGGAGGCCTTGCAAGGGGTGACTGGGCAGAGAAGGGGGAGTTGCTGACAGCAGGATCTATGTCCATCTTTTCTCTTTAGTCAGTTCTCCAGTGATGGGCTGAGTAACATCTTGCCTGGGGGGTGAGTAGATGGAGAATGGCCAGGTGTTGGAGGGGGAGAGGATGGAGGGTCTCTCCATTAACTGCTGCCTCCCTCCAGCCTTTGGCTGGGTTTGGGGTCCCCAGTACCAACTTTCTAGTTCACCCTTGGCCAACAGTAAACGTGTTTTCTCCCAGGGCCAGGGAAGGGCCCTGTGGGCTAGGGAAAGGGACTTGGGGGTCTCAGTGCTTGCAACCAATATGATTTTCATATCCATCCTAGTTTCCACCTTAGGAACACCTGGTCCCTCCAAGTTCTCCAATTTGGTGGATTCTGCAAAGCAAATGGACTGGTTCATGGCTGCCTTTCTCCCCTGCAGACATTTTGGGGAGCTGGGGAAGCTGGCACTAAACAAAGTATATTCTTCCATCTTCCAAAGTTTTCAGACCTCTCCTCTCCTTTCTGGCTTTGTAATTCATGCATTTCATTCCTTTAGGTTACTCTGATAGAGCGGGGGGGGGGGGGGGGGAGATATAAATGTATCCAGCCCACCAGCCCACTGTATTTAACCACAGTCCCTGTCTGTTTTACAAGCATTTTCACATCTGTGCACAGAAGTTCATACAATTCATTTGCTTAATTTTTTTTCTTCTAAATGTGAATGGCCTTGTTTTTCCATTCAACACCAGGTTTGTGAGCTCTACCACACGGAGACCGAGCTCATTCCTTTCACTGTGGCTCAGAGAGTGCTCCAGTGGTCAACATACAACATTCTCTTCCATCCATTTGTCTATCGATGCATCTCGGAAACACAAGTGACTGCAGTGTGATCAGCACACTGGTTCAATGCAAATTTTAATTTTTATTGTTAGAATTCTGAAGCATAACTTGTCACAGGGAAAACAGTCTTTTTACCATCTGCCAGTGGCAAGAGCCAAAAAACTAATGGTGGGGGCCTGAGAGCCCAGAGAGGACTTTCAAGGACCAGGTATGAGGGGTGGTGGATGAGGGGCAGGAAGAAAAGATATGGACACAAAACGCATGCACGCGCGCGCACACACACACACACACATTCTCAATCTCTTTCAATGTCTGTCTTCATTTTCCAGAAGCATTTGCTCACATGCTGAATTAATTATTTTTCATGCCAAATCAAACCTACTGAAGAGAAGTGAATTAAAGGCTTCGGGGGGCCTTGCACCCCACCTGGGGATGCAGCAGAAGGCTATTCTTCAAGGAGTGAACTCACAGTATCCACCAGAACCCTTCCCCACTCCACAAGCTGGGGAGAGGCTGAGCAGAGCCTGGGGAGACTGTGAGAGGGGTTCCACAAGGAACCCAAGTGAGAGCCAGGTCTGGATACTGCTCCTGAGCCAGTCTTGAGCAAAGGGCAGGTGAGCTTCACTCTCTAGGATCTGCTGCTCATCTCTCGGGGCCAAGTTCAGCCTGGAAGGGCAATGTTCAGGGATGGATTCTTCTTCCATTAATACAAATATGGAGAAAGCCCAGTCCAGTGTCCTCCGAAACCGCAGTGCATATGGGAGGGCCCCCTGAGTTGGGGCTGCAGGCCCTTCTGGCCCAACCCAGGACAAGGGCAAACCTAAAATGAACGTGGAGGTAGCCTGGGGGAGGGTGCGGAGGCGAGTGGTAGAGAATAAATAAAGGTCATGGCTGAGGGTTGTGGCAGTGGGGGGTGCCTCCCAGAACAGAAGGGTGCAGAAAGGCACTGAGTGGGCGGAAAGGAGACTCAGCACCCCCAAACACTGGTTTGCTGGGTCTGAGGTCACGTCTAACAGGGCTGGTCCACTGAGGGCTCCAACACCGCTCCCCAGACCCACCCAGCTTGCTTTCTCCCTCGAACTCTTCCACTGGGACGTCTGCGCCCTGCACCAAGCGGGCCCGTGCCAGGGCCGGCGGACAGAGCTTCAGAGGCCATGTCAGCAGCGGGGGATTGTCCAGGTGTGCTTCTTGCCTTCAGGGGAGAGAAAAAAAGGCCACTATAGGGTGAGCAGAGGCGGGGACCCTCCCCAGTGACAGGCGGGCTCCAGCCTGCACCTGAAGCAGCTTCCCTTTCTGCCCCTAAACGGGGGTGGGTGGGGAGTACTGGGGCTGGTGCCCTGGGCAGGGGACACACGCTCCAGCAGAGCTCTGCTCCTTCCGCTGCATCACTGCCAACAAATCATCTACTCCCTGTGCTTCAGCGTGGCCATTGAAACGGGGGCAGTGAACACAGGCACTCTTAGATGCCAGGAAGAACAAACGACGTGGAGTCTAAAACTCCCCTCGGGTTGTCTCACAAGCCCCGGGACCCTTCTAGGCTCCAGGCCACATGGCCTCCCCCTTATTGGATATCTGCTGAAGCCCCATGTGGATGTTTCATTTCACCCTCCTCGTGGCCCTATGAGGAACACAGTTGGTCCCCACTTTCGCAATAATGGAAACAGGGTCAGTGAGATCAGATATTAGGTTGAGTCAGGTCGATGCCAATACTTGACTATTTTTGATCAAAGGATCAAAGGCAATTTCCTATGGTTGAATCTGATGGCTTGCCCAAGCTCACGTGTCTGTGGGTGGCAGGGCTGGGACAAAAACGTGGTTGATTCCAAACTGTCCTCTGTGGAGGATTTCAGGAGGCCAGGTGGAGGGGAGCGGGTCTGCTCCACAGCCATGCCAAGGGGCCTACCTCTCCCAGAGACCCGCCCACCTGTGGCCTCTCTTACGTGCCCTGCCCTGCAGCTTCCTGGCATTATGACCGTAGAGAGGGGGAGGAGGGAAGACAGGGAGCAGGTGCAGGCACTGGGGTGGGGGGCTCCCGCAGGCTTGCATGCAGATTCCTGCAGTGAGCTGTCCTCGGACCCCTGGGGAGGTCAGCTGCTGTGCAGATCCATGTGTGCACTACATATCCCGGGGTCTTCTGGCCCAGAGGTCCCAGGTCCAGCTGGGGCTTTTTTCTTGAAGGAGACTGAGGGCAGGACTGAGGACCCTCAGCCTGCCCACCCCCATTGCACGATGATCCCAGGTTGGTCAGGTAGGGGCAGTGGGCCTGGTGGGATAGAGCCTGGGTTCCCACCCTTAGTTTCCACACCATCAAATGGGGATAATAAGCTTTCCATCTACTGCTCCAACAGAATGCAAGTGGCCCTTAGGGGTGCGAGGGCAGGCTAGGCTCCACGCCACCAGCTCTGGTGGACCTGAATTCTCACACTGATTTAGGTCTGGGTTGTTTTGGGTGAATTGATTGAGCTTCTTCAGCCACATGGTAGGTAGTTGTAGGTAGGTGACCTTTCTGAAGGTCAGGGACTGTGTTGTACCTGCCCAGGCTGGGCACAGGATTGGGCCTGGTGAGGACTGGGTTGCCTGGTGCATGGCAGGTGTTCCTGAAACAGTAGTTACTAAGGCTACTGTGGAGATGGGTAGATGCTTTGAAAAATGACATGTTTCACAAAGCAGAGGATGGTAAGAACCATTGTTAGGATTACTAAGAATGGATAGGGGTGGTTCCCATTATTATTTTGGGTCCCTTTCTCTGTTCATTGCAGGCAGGGGTGGGGTCTGGCTCACCTCTGTTCCCCCCAGTGCCTGGCACAGCGCTCAATAAACAGAGAATTGCAAATATCATCTAGCACTCTCCAGTTTGGGTGGATTGAGTAAGGAAGGAGAAGGAGCATGGGGAAGCAGAAGAGGGAGAGGCAGGTAGGTTAGAAGGTGTGGCTTGGTACTCACTAGGGCCCTTTGGGTCTGGCCAGGATGGGGTGCCCAGTTGTGGGTCTGCAGAGCCCATTCCAGTCTCACTTGCCAGGCTGCTCTGGCTTCCTGAGAGGTGGCTGGGCCGGCGGGCAGGCCCCATCCTGGGGGACTCCACACTGCCACCTGCAAGAGACCATGGGTGCTCTTTGGGCCTTGAACAGAGACAAGGATGATCTCAGACTGATAAGGAGCTAGTTTAAAGTCTTCTCATTTGTGGGGCACCTGGGTGGTTCAATCAGTTGGGGATCCAACTCTTTATCTCAGCTTAAGTCTCAATCTCAGGATCATGAGTTCAAGCCCCATGTTGGGCTCCACACTGAGTGTGGAGTCTACTTAAAAACAAACAAATCTTCTCATCTGGAACTGTGGTAGGTATCTGTGGGATTGTCTGCTCAGAGCCCATCAACCCACTGCCCCCACGTGGTTGCCATGTTCTAGTGAGATCTTCTTCTCTGGCCAGTGCTAATTGGCCCAGGATATATAAAGGCCACTACATAGGTCCCCAGATTGGTTCAGTAAGGAACAAGTCATCAACATGAAAACTTACAGTGAGGAGGAGTTTTTCTTGTCTTTATAGAATGAGAAAGGTATATATCTCCATTAACCCAATGACATTTTAAAAAACTTATTTACGTATTTAAGTAATCTCTACATCCAATGTGGGGCTTGAATTCACGACCTTGAAATCAAGAGTTGCATGCTCTACTGACTGAGCCAGCTAGGTGCCCCCCACCATGGGTTTTTTTCTTTAAAAGCTGGCTGTGGAGCCTAATGTGGGGCTTGAACTCACCATCATGAGATCAAGACCTGAGCTGAGGGCAGCCCGGGTGGCTCAGTGGTTTAGTGCTGCCTCTGGCCCGGGGTGTGATCCTGGAGACCCGGGATCAAGTCCCATGTTGGGCTCCCTGCATGGAGCCTGTTTCTCCCTCTGACTGTGTCTCTGCCTCTCTCTCTCTCTCTCTCTCTCTGTGTGTCTCTCATGAATAAATAATTTTTTAAAATCTTAAAAAAAAAAAAAAAGACCTGAGCTGAGGGGCACCTGGGTGGCTCAGGTCCTGATTGGAGGGTCCTCGGATCAAGTCCCACATTGGGCTCCCTGCAGGGAGTCTGCTTCACCCTCTGCCTATGTCTCTGTTTCTCCCTCTGTGTCTCTCATGAATAAATAAGATCTTTAAGGAAAAAAAAAAAAGATCTGAGCTGAAATCTAGAGTTGGACACCAACCAGCTGAGCCACCCAGGCTCCCCCCCACCAATGGGTTTATTCATTGCTGCCTTTATTAACTAAGGAAACTTCCTTCAGATATGGTTGCTACCTTGCTGTCTGGGAGCACAGAGGCAGGACCTGTAATACTGCACTCCATCTTCTCCCTGTCTCCCAGACCACCCTGGTCATAGCTGAGAGCTGGTGTTAGTGGGGTTTAAGAGCTCTATGAGGGGAACAGGTTGTAAAACCTGCCCTGGAAACCAAGGCTGGCAAGTAGGTTTCCTTCCTTCCTTTCATTTCCTTCCCTTCCCTTCCTTCCTCCTCCCTCCCTCCTTCTCCCTTCCTCCCTTTCCTCCCTTCCTTCTCTATTCTTCCTCCCTTCCTCCCTTCTCCCTTCCTCCTCCCTTCCTCCCTCCCTTCTTCCTACCTTCCTTCTTCCCTCCCTCCCTCCCTCCTTCCTTCCTTTCTTTTTAAAGATTTTCTTTATTTATTCATGAGACACACACACACAGAGAGAAAGAAAGAGAGAGAGAGAGAGAGAGAGGCAGAGACATAGACAGAGGGAGAAGCAGGCTCCTTGCAGGGAGCCCAGTGTGGGACTCGATCCCTGAACCCCGGGATCATGCCCTGAGCCGAAGGCAGACACTCAACCATTGAGCTACTCAGGTGCCCCTCTTTTATACTTTTCTAAGATAGAATCTTTAGCTTGAGAAGCCTAAGAGATCATCTGGTCCAGAAACTGGTGTCGTCTCTTGTGCTGTTTCCACCTGATACTAACCACTTGGAAAACTATGCTGAGGAGGACTCTGAGCCCATGTCAGGCTCTGTGGGAGAGTACCATGATCAACTAGTAATGTCTGCCAAGGGCACAGGAGTGGGAGTGGAAGTACGTGTGCTAGGCATTTGCCATCTCCCATCTAGCCTGAATTCAGCCTCCACCAGGAATTTCTTCCATAACAGCTCTGGGAGATCACTCAGCTTTGGTCCTAGGACAGCACCCTGAGGTGTTCCAGTTTGGAAAGTTATTATAAAGCTCTCTGCTTATGCACTAAAATCAGCCTCCCTGAACTTTCAAATATTCTGGTTCTAACCTCTGCAGTAATTCTGAATGACATTGGTCCTTTTCCCAGGAAGGCCCTTCATGTGTTTAAAGGAAAGAAAAATGTGCCCCCAGGCTATCTCTGCACCAGCCTCAAGGCCCTGTTAACTCTCTTTCGTATGAGAAGGTCACAGAGGAGAGCTCTGGTGTTAAATCCGGAAGACACTTGGGGGACCACCTGCTCTATCACATTTGTGCTGAACAGAAGGGGACAGGAGCCCAAGAGGTCAAGATATGTGTTCAGGGCCCCACTGTGGTTTCATGGCATAGCTGAGCTAGCTCAAGGAACTGCATACCTGATTTTTGCAGCTCTCAGCGTTCACGAGACACAATCTCATCTAGGGAATGCTCACAGGGAGACTGAGGAATTCTGGGTGTGCAGGCAGGCTGGCTAGGTCTGCCTCCCTCCCTCCACCCCTGCACACACAGCTGGGTCTGCCTCCCTCCCTCCACCCTTGCAAGTACAGCGGGGTCTGCTTTCTGTCCTGCTCTGCAGTGGTGCTAACACTTTAGCTCCTAGTCATCCCAGCCTCAGGCCCCCTCCTCCTTCCTCATTGAGAGTGGCTCTGTAGACACCAGTTGGGGAGCCACGATCTGAGGAAGCAGCAAAGCCACCTGCACCAGGGGGGCTTCAGAAACAAGTGGTGTCCTTGCTGTGCTTACCTGGTTCACTGTAGGGTTTGTCACTTTTGGGCTCCTTGACCACCGACAGAGGAAGTCGGTCCTCCAGGCTAGAGGAGCTGAGATCCGAGTCACTGTCACTGTCACTGGAAACCACTGGAACAGACACAGGCATAGGAGATTACCCTGACCAGTCACTCTCAGCAGACACATGGGACGGAGGGGCTGGGGCAGGCCTCCCCTCTGCCTGGACAAAGCGGCACATGATTTCAGCTGGTCCTTGTGTTTGGGACACAGAAACGTGGCCTGGGGACAGGGATGGCAGTTCTGTCAGCCGAAGAGGCAAGTCCTGGTATGAGGAGGCCCTGACTCGGGGCCAGAGTGACCAGCACCAGCGGGGAGGGCTGGCCCCTCAGCTAGCGGCCTCCATGTGTGACCCCATCCCAGGGGCGGACTCAGAAGCCTTTCGCTGGGGGAGGAGCCAATTATCCTCTTTGGTGCAGGCACAACCTCTCTGAGGCTTGTACCCGGTACGCTCAGGGGTGCAATGCTGCTCTACCTTTTAATGAGGCAAAGCAGCTCTGCTTGTAACAAAATTTCCAGTCCTCGCCAGCCCTTATGAAGCACTCCTGGCACTCTACATATGCTAGCTTGCTGAAGCCTCAGAACATCCCTGGAAGACAGGACTGTGCTCATTTTACAGGTGAGGAACCCAAGGCACTTGCCCAAGGTAGTAAGTGGGAGAGCTCGGACGATTACCCTGGCAGCTGGCTCTACACCTTGTGTTTGTAACCACTGTGATTTTGCTGGAAGGAATGAAGTGGGGAGGCCTGGGCCCTCATTTCAGTTCGTCCAGGAATTCACAGCAGGGCCTTGTGAATGCAGAGGGGAGCCAGACTGATGGGGCTGGTGTTCCAGGAGAGGGGAGGGCAGGGAGCTCTCATGGGGAACTCCCACTGTGGTAGAAATCTTCTTTTCTGGACTAAATGGGACCATAATTTGGCTGGTTGGCCAATCATGAGAGTCATAATACAGGATGTATTAATAGATTAAACATCCTATATTGATTTTAAGCAGAGACATGTACATCCATTCACCAATCCTCTGATGGAGGGCATTGAAATAGGGCCCACATGGTCTTTCATGTCCGAGCTGCACCCACATTGCACTGTCTGTGATCCCTGTGTTTAGTGTCTCTAAACTGCAGCACAGCTTAGACACTAGCAAATCCCTAGAATCCCTCTCTGCTGTTCCATTTCTTTCTCCTGCTTTTTACAGTTGTCCTGCCCACACCTGATCCAATAGCTTTTTTAAGCAAGTAGGTTTCTATCAAGACTTTCCAAAGTCCTGGTTTTAATGAAACAACTCTGTCTTTCCTGGCTCTTTTCATCTGTTTACATAACATTTGATTATGCGATGTAACTCTAATAACAAGTTCAACAGCACAGAAAGGTTTAGGATCACAGGTAACGAACACTCACAGATGACTGACCTGGTGGATGGGGTAAGAGTCAGTGTGCCTTGCCAGTGAGTATGCAAAATGCTGATTACAGAGGGAGCTGAGGAGAGTTTGGGAACTCTGCTTGGCACAGTGCCAGGTGCCCAGATGGCACTACTGCCAATCAACCCTATGCCACAGGGACCAGTCTGGTGGGAGATGAGACTGGAAATAAAATTGGTCTATGCCAAGAGTGGCTAAGAGGTTTCATCTGATGGTCTGGGCCCCTTGTGGAGCAGTGTGCAGAGGAGGGCCCTGAGACAGCATTAGCAGCCCACAGCAAGGAGAGCCTGATCAGGTAGGGAAATCCGCTGTGGGCACTGGAGCAGCAGTGGCAGGACTTGTGCCATGTAGCTTCTACCCGGAAGGGTCTTTTGGAAAGCCTTTGTGCCTTCAGCACACGTCAAAAGGAGTCACAGGTCACAGAATTTGGCAACCAGACAGATGGAGCTGGTCAAACATTTCAGCTCTAGGAGATTGTCAACCGTGTGCTTCCATAGCAGAGCATCTGGTACCTAGTAGGTACTTCGGGAAGCACTGAGGACTACTTCACTCTTTTCTCCCCCTCACCCCACATTCTGCCAGCTTTGCCTCCTAAACAGTTCTTCAAACAGTGGCCTCCTCACCATGGCCACAGCCCTTGATTAGCTCAAGAGCTCAGTGTCTCCAGCCTGGACTCCTTCAATAGCTTCCCACCTGGGCCCCACCTGTGGGCACCTCTCTCTGCGCAGAGGGGGATGCTCCAACTAACACACAAATGCTAGCTTACCCGTCTTAGAAGCTCCCTGTAACCTACATGCCCATGGCCCTGTTCTTCATCTACTTCTTGAGCCTTGTTCTGCACAATCTTTTTTTTTTTCCTCTCAAGATTGTATTTATTTATTTGAGAGAGAGAGAGCATAAAGAGCGGGAGGGGCAGAGGGAGAAGCAGACTCCCCACTGAGCAGGGAGCCCATGTAGGGCTGAGTCCCAGCATCCTGGGATCGTGACCTGAGCCAAAGGCAGATGCTTAACTGACTGAGCCACGTACACGCTCCCATCCTGCACAATCTTACCCAGGTTTTTCCACATGGCTGAATTCTTACCAAACTGCTGGTTGGTACCTCCTACAGAAACTTATTTCCTACCACCCTGCTCATGGCTCTTCTCCTGGCTCATATTATTTTTTTAGTTATCTCAACACTCAACATGGGGCTTGAACTCACAATCTCAAGGTCAAGAGTTGCATGCTGTAATGACTGAGCCAGCCAGGTGCCCCTTTCCTGGCTCCTTTTGGACACCATCTCTTCCAGGGAGCCCTCCTCCAGGGAGCCTTCCTTATCTCCTGTGCTTGGCTGGCTGAATGCCCTATGCATTCTGCTACAGCCACTCTCTGCTTTCAGAGTGTGTGAGTGTGTACATGTGTGCATGTGTGTGTGTGTGTGTGTGTGTGTGTGCACGCGTGCACTTCCCCCAGCAGACTCCCAGGCTCCTGGTAGGGGCCAAGGCACACTGCGAATGGTGTGCTTTTCCTGCACAGCCAGGCCCACACGGGCGGGGCGAGAGTGATGCTAACCTGATTGTTCCCAGCTTTTTCTTCCTCTATCTGCTCAAGGATCTTGCCTTTTCTGCTCTTTCCCTCCTTGCCTTCATGAGAAAGAGTTTTGCTTTGGCTTTTTGGGCTTTCATGCTGTAGAATCAAGAGGGAATTCAGAGGGGCTGTGATCCACATGCCCCTTCATAGTATCTGAAAAATGCAAAGACCTGATTTATTTTGCAATTGCTTTGCGGGTCCCAGACTGGGTTTCTTTGATCACGACTCCCCCCACTGGACCTTGCAGCGTTGGTTTTATAGGCATTTACATATTTTTGACTCACTTGGTGACTGACTAAGCACCAACCCTGTGAGTCCCCAAATAAAGGGAGAGGGAGGTAGGCAGGAGGTAGCAAGTGGTGCCCCCACCAAGGGAGACCCTTGAGGGGGCAGCTGTAAAGGAATCAGCAGAGGGTCTGGTAGCCTGTTAGGCAGACAGAAGTCCCTGAGGAGAGCCAGGACTCCCGTCCACACTGGCTTCCCCTTGTCTCTGGCAGCCATTCTTCCTGATCTGGAATGCAGGATCTTCATCATCCCGGGGCGAGCCCACAGCTGGGGCAGGGGGAGGAGGGGTGGGCAATGTGCAGCACCCGAATGTTGAAACACTGCCTGGGTCCTTTGGTGCTCTTGTGCCGGTGACAGAGAGCACAAATTACTTGGAGCTCCAAAGGAGACAATGGGGAAGGGTGTCACCATAAAACCCAAACCTGGGCTAATTTGCCATTGGATTGCTGATTGCCACCTTTCTGGCTGCGCGGCAGCTGTGATTGTAAATCTTCCAGGTCTATTAACAAAGCTTTCAAGCTGATAAATCCTCTGGCCCTTGCTCTTCCATCCTCAACAGAACACTGTGTGTCTGAAGGCTGATTGTTCCCTTCTAATTCCCCAAAGACAGTCTAGGATGGCTTGGCGATGAGTGCTTGCCTTCAGCCCACGCCTCATTTTTCAGATCGAAGTTGGGAAAACACCAGGGAGAAGACTGTCCCACTTGTCCTCCCAAGAAGGAGGAGTCACCAAATGGACTCACTTGGGCTCTGCCAGGAGGCAGGGAGGAGGTTGGGTCTCCCCCACTCCTGTGGCCTGAGACCCTGGACCTCTTGCTTGGGGAGCTGTCATCCCTGAGATTTTCCCATCATGCCCCAGAAGGGGTGCCCCCCTCTGCTTGGCTCTCATCCTTAGCAGTGGCCGGCCCCAGTGCCAGCCATGCCCACTTCTCTGGGGATAGGCCAGATTTTTTTCTTTCCTGGCTCACTCTTGGATGGATCTGCAATTTGACTGTCACCATGGAAACTTAGAGTTTTGGTACATAAAGGTGGGGGGAAGTCTTCCCTTTTGGAAAGTCTTTTCTGACTCCCTCAAAGGACACATGTGGCAGCTGCCATCCTGTGAAGACACCTTGCCTGGGATGGTCCAGGTGAGAGGTAGGATGCTGACCACTTGACCTCATAGCACCATACTGGGATCTGGGGTGACCTAATTTCTGGCTCTTCTCTGCCACCACCTCTCTTTGTGACCCTGGGCATCTCTCAGGGGTTACACACAGAGAGTCCAACCTGGACAGCTACTGGGTCTGAATCCTAGGATTCAACTTCAGATTAGCTCTATTTCATCAGTAGAGGGATCCCAGTGCTCCTCTCTGGTTAAGAGATGGGGTGATGTGACTTCTGGGCCACAACATCCGCCTGCTTGGCACAAGAACAGCCCAGGAGCCTGGGAGGCACTTGCGAGCTGCTGCTGTTCCACTTGGAGGCTTCCAAAGGCCCCCCAAAACTACGGGAATTAGAGAGGAAGAGAGATATTTTCAGCAAACATTCTGCCAAGGCAAAGCAGATGGTGGAAAATTTTGCATACTAAAAACAAAATAATTTTTTTTAATGTAAAGGGAAGATGATAAGGCCCTGGGGAATGCATAGACATCCCCAATTAGCCTTACTCTGCCTACCAGGCTGCAGAGGGGAGCCGCAGGACTGTCCCCTGGGACAGGTGAGAGCTGCCTCACTTGTAAATAGAGCCAGGCCTGCAGACTGAATCCCACTGAGATGCCTCCCAAGTCTGGGGCTCTGGTGGTAGCAGGAGGAAGGTATG